ACCACGTCTTCGTCTGGACGACACGTCCATAGTCGTCATGTAACCAGCTTCGAGCGACCAGATCCATAGTGCTCGTGGTGAGCTCGCCATGAAGACATTTCGATTCGCAACGCTACTCCTGGCTCGGAGGAAACGTACACATTTACGAGCAAGCGATTGTGGCGTCCACGAGCCTACTGCGAGTCCCTTTGTGTTCGCAGCAAAAACCGACAAGGCAGTGGCTCGCCGGTCGTGTTACAGAGCGCGCTCGAAGTACGTTCGCGAGCGTGGTTCGGAAGGCGTCCACACTAACAGAATGTGGTTACAGTAACCGTTACGTTACATGCAACAGCTCGCTAGTGTGTACGCGCCCTTACATGCAACAGCTCGCTAGTGTGTACCCGGCCTTAGATGATCTAGGAGAAAATATATAAGGGCATTGCTAAAATGATCTTAAAGTAATAGGATGAGAGGATGTGAACTGGATTCATTTGCCTCAGGACAGGGTCCAGTGTAGGAACTTCCGGTTCCATGAAATGTTTGGAATGGCTTAAGTCGCTGAATGGCTAACAGCTTCGGGAAAGAAATTATTCAGTTCCTTGGAGTTGGTACCACACAGATTGATTCTATCTCCAGTACGTACAACTCGAACGGTAAAAAATGGTAAAGCTATCCCTGTAACATGCCGTGTAGGCCCTCTGGGTTGTGAGACGTCGAGGCTGCCACATTTTATCGACAATCGGCTCACAGATGGCGGTGAGGTTGTCGGTCTTACGCATCGGCCGCNCCCCCCCCCCCCAGGAAGATTCCTGGTGGTGGTTTCTGTTAGAGACTGAGTTGACCCCAGGGCCATAGTGCTGCGGGAAGGGTTAGGTCAATTGAAAAATCCAGTCACCATATCGGCATGAGCCGAGTAAAAAAAAACATGCAGCGTGAAGCAGTTTGTAATTTACTCTCCCGTAAGTAACTAATGATGTTTTTATAAGCTTGCACGCCCAACCTTTTATATTAGTTGTTATTACAGATTTGTCAAATGTGTTATCTGAATAACTCATCTTGAGCGTAACTACCGAATTACATTCAATGACGTTGCAGCCCGTATATCTGGGTTGCAGCACTGCAGCTTTTAGTCGGCGCAAGAATGACTTACGTCGTTATAAAATTGCGCAGTTGGCTGTGTAACTGCTCCAGTTTCCCTCCAGGAGCAGAAGAGAGCTGCAACGCCTCGACGTGATTTTACGACTTTATCGCGTTTACAGTAGAGATGTATTAATCGCTGGCAGCTTTAACGCCAAACTGCAAGCTATTCATTTATGGTAGCGTCTGAGTCGTTTTGTGTGGGCGTGAAACTTTGAACTGAACTCTACTGAAAAGAAAATGGGGTCATTAAATAAAATAAAAATCCGTGGTTTAGTTAATTATGCTTTCTTTCTCTCATTCATCATTAACTAAAACTCCGAGGAGCGGAAACCTTCTTGAGAAGCCAGCAGTTGCTGATCCAGTCCAGAAATTGCCTGCTTTTTGTAGAATTCAAAGGGTCAGGAAGAACGCACCATTACACCATATCGTGAGCAAGATGAATGCGGTGCACTCCTCACTTATTTATTACTTAAAGGTAAATCTTAGCATCCTCCCATCTATGCGTAAGTCTACTAAATGTTCTCTCTCCCTCCGTGTCTTCCAACTAAAATTTCGTGTGAATTTATCTTATTTTTCATGCGTGCTACATGCCTTGGTCATCTCATCTTCCTAGATTTGATTAGAATAATAAGAAGATTACTGTCCTCTGGAGGAGCCGGGATAGCTCAGTCGGTATAGCGACTGGCGACGGGCTGGACGACCGAGGGGTCAGAGTTTGAGTCCCGGGAGGGTTAAGAATTTCCTCCATGTCGTCCAGACCGGCTCTGGGGTTCACCCAACATTCTATTCAATGGGTACCGGGAGCTCTTTCTCTGGTGGTAAAGCGGCCGGGACATAAAGCTGACCACTCACCTCCAGCTAGTGCCGAGGTCGAGAAAATGTGGTTCTGTACATCCACTCCCCTATACGCCTTCATGGCGTAGTGTTAGTTAAGCATAGGGACAACTTTACCTTACTGTCCTCTGGGATGTGACACCGTGCATCCTGGTATGATCTTCCGAAGCGTCAGCATATGCTGCCTACATGTTTAGGGTGACAGAATACCAGGCTATGCCGGGTCACATCCCAGAAGGCAGTAACCTTTATAATTACCACCGTGAGAGCCGTTCATCATTACTGGCTGATTTTATTCCTGCAGTACGCGCGTATGTCTCTTGTTCTTGTCTGCTTGGCGCGCCTCTGTGCCGTCGTAATTCGAAAGGTTCTGCACCTTTCAGAATAAGATTTTTCAGTATGCGCATGAGGGTCTGTTGGGTCGCGCATACAAATGACTGGCGCTCGTGGAATGAATTAGGGGTGTATGATTGCGAAGAAGATTATGGAACCGATCTTCCCCACGCAGCTGAGAATAGCTCAGTCGATATAGCGGCGATCTGCGGGCTGAATGGTCGGGGTTCAGTTTCTGGCAGTGGAAACAAAATGTTCTCTTCTCCATAGTGTCCAGACCGGGTCTGCGTTCCACCCAGCCTCCTGTCCAGTGGGTGGGGGGTAAAGCGACCGGAGTGTGAAGGTGGCCACTTACCTCCATCTAGTGCTGAGATCAAGTGTGATGGAGTTATACTTCTACTCCCCCATACGTCTTCATCGCGTAGTGTCTAAGTAATTATGCACCGGGACATCTTTACTCTTACCTTCTTTTACCGAGAAATGCAAGTCTGACTAACCAACTCCTTCGAGCAGAGTCGGCCTTGAACAACCAATAGTCACCCGCCCATCAGAGAATCTTCCCTCCCTTTATAGACCCTGCTGTCGGGAACCACCCCATTTCTCAAATATCCATTCTAATAAGCCTCCTGTCCTTCCTTCTACGTTAGGGTGTTTCTAATGTTCAGCCGTTCTGTTATATTTCCAGTCAACCATAAAGAGTTAAACACTTTGGAACTTTATAATGCAGTCTTTGGAACATGATCAGGATCAGTAAATACTTCGTCAAGAATACTGAATCCAGTAGGTTTCCCAGGCGCAACCTTTAATGCATTTCTCATCTCTCCCATGCGTGCTACATGGCCTACCCTTCTCATTATCCTTGATTTGATTATTCTAATAATATTTCGTGAAGAATACAAATTATGTAGTTTTCTCTGCAGCCTCATGTTAATTCATCATTCTCTTTAGCATCCCGTTTTTCAACATCCATAATCTATCCTCTTCTCTAATACGAAAGAGATGTTATACACCGATACAAAACAGCAGGTAAAATTATTTAATCCTTATGTTGTTAGATAGCAGAGAAGAAGACAGAATACTGAGATTCGAATAATAGTAAACACTCCACAAATGTAATTGTTCTTAATTCTCTCGTAAATGTATTTTTGATTTGTTAGTGTTTCTCCCTAATATTTTAATGTTGGCAAATTTTCATTGGGATTGTTATGTCTCTTTATAGCATTGTGCTGTTCATGCATTTTTCTACTTCTCTCCCCCTCTACAAAATAGCACCAGCTGTCGCAGAGGCAGTCTAGGCATCGATGTCGGTAAACAAAAACAATTTGCTTTTAACGTTGAACGGAAGTGACGTTATTTATGTTCCGGATGAGCTCATGTTTCCGTTGCGTACAGCCGCTTCTCTTCATTCCTTATAACAATTATAACTCATTTTGTTATACTGTTAATAACCTTGGTGACGGCAGAACTACTCGAAGCTCTACAGGTACGTTTTATCCACTGTTGTTATGCACCCCTCTCTCTTCGCTTGTGCCCTTTCGACTCGCTTTGTTGAACAGAAAGTGCGTAGCATTATAGGAAGTACAAGATCGCGGGTAATATTCACCAAGCTGTGCCGTCAAGCGGTGCAGAACTTGTCTCTCAGAATCCAGAATTGTTCTACACTAGTTCTTATTTTGTTAGTGGGTTCCGTCGTATTCCACGATCTAAAATGCATAGTTCAAGACTAATTGTAGTCTGGGTTAAATGTCCTTAGCAACCTTAAAAAAATGGTATTGAATTTCTGTCAACAGCTTTTCTGTCAGACTGATCTAATCACAATTTGTTACCCGACGTAAAGGAACATGGTAAAGCTATCCTTGTAACAGACCTTTGAGGCCCACAGGATTGTGAGACGTTGGGGCTCCCACATTTTCTAGACAGTCGGGCTCACAGAGGGCGGTGAAGTTGTCAACCTGCCTGCCGCCCTTTACCCTACGCAGGAAGATTTCTGGTACTCATTTCTGTTAAGAGGCTAAGTGGACCCAGTGCGGCTGGAAGGATTAGGTCAGTTGAAGAATATTGTTACATAGGGAATCTAACCCGCGACCTTACGGCTTGTACGAGTATTAAAATTATTTACATGTGCAGTTAACTTCATGGGGCAGAATCCTTCTTGAGACGCTAACAGCCGTTCAAATTCAGGCCTTCTACAGAATCCGAAGTGTTCATTACTGTGTTACAGGACAGATGAAATCAGTGAACCCTATTTCTTTTTTTGGTTCCTTTTTAATAGCATTGTCCCATCTCGCAAATGGTCCGCTTGTATGTGTTCACATGTAACACTGTAAATTGTCAAATGATGGTCGAGGTTACTAGTTACAAGTTCTGTGATGGTACTCGGCTACATTTCAGCTGGTGAAGAAATACCTCACCTTTCGCGGTGTTAGGCCATTGACATTTAATCGAAAATTTACGCCATTATAAATAGTTAATATTAACGATTTCTAATTCCGCAAAAAATAAAAAGCGGCCTTAAGGCAGATGTTAATTTCTCAGAGACTCCTCTCCATGAAATGATCATCAATAAGAATGACAATAGCAGGAGATGGATGTGCTTGCAGGTACATTTTCGTTGCTTACACAAATCATTGCACTTGAAAACAAGATGATACTACTCAGTATTAGTGAAAGGTCAGAGTGTTGTTGTAACATTGTGACGCACTTATTGATTACAGGAATGGGACCCCAAGTTGCCCGGGCTGAGAGACTATCCTGAACTGAGGGCCGCGGTTCGACGCTGGTCCGAATTACAGGATGGACAGCGGATTCTCGTGACCACACCCAGTGTTCTGGTGGGCTACAGAGTGGAAGTGTACAGGGCGGAAGGAACCACACAATGGTACACTGCCGTAATCGTCAGTTACAACGAAGCTACGAGGGTACGTATGTTCTTTTTTCGTCTTGGTCGCCATACGAATATGAAGATCCGCATATGATGACTGTTTTCCTGTAACGTTTATCGTTGTGGTGAGTCCTGCACTCTTTGTCGAAACTCTGGAAACCCTGTACCGTTCAACGCGACTTATTCCCGAAAGTTGGACTTATACATGAAACTCCAGTTGCGAAAGTAGAAAAGGCAAGAATATGAATTAAGAGTTGGACTCTTCTACTTGAGGTGGCACGCGGTAGCATAATTGGTTAAGGCACTATGACACAAGCCGGAAGGTCGCGGATTCGAGTCCCGATTAGGTGGATTTTTTTCAATTGACTTAATCCTTCCAGCCGCACTGTGGCCCTGGGGTCGATTCAGCCTCTAACATATGAGTACCAGGAATTTTCCTGGCGGTAATGGGTAGCCAGCGAGTAAGGCTGAACTCACCGCAATCTGTGAGCCGATTGACTATAAAATATGGAAGTCTCGACGTCTCACAACCCTATGGACCACCACGGCCTGCTGCAGGGATAAACAAACAAAACACGAAACTCCGTGGCCCGTAGTCCGCAAGCGAACTATACCGATCGAGCGACCGCCACTTGTCGGCGAAGTTAGTGCCAACTGTAGCGGATAGAGGGTGTCGCGTGGTCAGCGCAACGGATCCCCAAGGCCGTTAATTTCGGTTTTATAGACCGGAGCCGCTACTTTTACATTCAAGTAGCTCCTCAGTTATTCTCACGAGGCTGAATGGACCCCGTTTCAGACCCACTACTTCTCAGAAAATCTGGTAGCGCCGGGTTCGAACCCGGGACCTCTGGATCTGTAGCCAGGAACTCTGACCTCTAAACCACAGAGGCGGTGCTGCTACAGGGATAGCTTTACCTATCCCTCTCCTACTTGATTTTCTCTCAGCATACGTCATTGTGAAGTGAGCAAGCAGGGGAAGCACGTGTAGGCCACGCTTCTCACAGTGATTCACTTTGTAACACTACTGACCTTGAAATCCCAGTGGCTGCTGCTGCTACAACTTTATTGAGCGATATATGTATCTCCCTCCTTCCCATCCCACGCCACCCCCCCCCCACTAGCTTCATCATTCAATCGACACCGCAAAGCTTTTTTTTTATGCGGTCCAGTGATTCCGACACAGTTGAACGTCCCTACTGACATGTGTCGGCGCCGCAAATGTTAACTGGGCGCGCCAGCATTTGTAGCAAGAACTTCCATAATGTCAAGATCGGTTCGCAGGTTATTTAATGAGGCTGTATGATACGGAAGCAGGAGACAGGATAGCGTTGTCGGTATAGCGACTGTCTACGGGCTGGACGACCAAGGGGTCGCAGTTCGAGTCCCGGTAGGGCCAAGAATTTTCTTTCGTCCAGACCGGCTCTGGGGCACACCCAGCTTCCTATTCCAATGGGTACCGGGGACTCTTTTCCCGGAGGTAAAGCAACAGAGTCTTGAAGCTGATCACTCACCTCCAGGTAGTGCCGAGGTCAAGAAAATGTGGATCTATACGTTCACTGCCCCATACGCCTTCATGGCATAGTGCTTAAAATTTAAGCACAGGGACAACTTCACCTTTTACGGAAGGATTATGATAAGTACGGTGAGCTGGAGAAGAATGTGGAAATGGTGGATCAGCAAGGCATCTCGAAATACTGAGGAAAACCACGGATAGTTGAGAAAGATGGGAGTCTTGAAAAGCTGAAAGATAAAATTGTTATGGGCTACTTAAAAGAACGATCCCAGTGTTCGACTTTCTGAAGATAGCCAGCTCCGCAGCCAAGATTCGAACCAGGTTGCTTTGCGAATACCTTACAAGTTACACTCTATAATGCTGAGTTATTGTACCCGCTGGCGTCTAGATTCAAATTTATAAAACAAAGTTTTTGTCTGCTACAATTATTACATTTCGTAATGAAGTTAACTGAGTTTTTTAAAACGGCAACTAATTGTATCCATAAATTTGTATCGTATGCAGCTCGGGCCATTTCTGTTTGTCCATGTTTCAGTGTGCTGTCTTGTTATGGTCCGATCCTACGTCAGGGAGTTCTGATGAATGCCTTAAGCGGATTCTTCATCTGGAAATTCATTGCGGACCATAATCCGGATAAGTAGGGGAAAAGCAAGAAGAACGATTTTAACGCTTTTTTTTTCTGTAAAACTTTGTTTAATCTTTAAAATGGCAGCCTGAATTCGAGAAAATATTGGTGACGGTGCACCAAGCAAATTCGGATCAAGGTTAAATCTATTTATATCTTTATCGGTGACAATTCCGTTTTTGTTTTATTTCGCGCTTTTATGTATCAAATACCTTTTTTTCCTTTTTCTGTGGCGCTGCAGCCCCAATTTGGGCCTAGGCCTACCTCCGTGAAACTCTCCGTTTCACTTCGGTTTACTAGATCTTACACATACGGTAGGACTCCTTGGGCGGGTGATCAGCTCGTCGCAAGGCCTCTACCTGTAGACAAACACAGAAAAACGCACACAAACATCCATGCCCTGAGTGGGATTCGAACCCACGATCTCGGTTTCCGAGCAAGCGAAGACAGTGCATGCCTTAGACCGCTCGGCTACCGTGACCGGCATCAAATACCTTGGTATTCGAAATTAATTCTGCGTATAATCAATGCTTTGGTAACAGAATTCACATGTTCAAGACTGTTAACAGGAAACCTTTCCATTGGATTAGACTCTTAGCTGGTTCACTTCATCTGACGCCACACTGGTTTTCCTAAGATGAAGATAAAAAGTTATCCCTGTAACAGGCCATGGAGGCCCATAGGGTTGCGAGACGTTGAGGGTACCACACTATCTAGACAGTCGGCTCACAGATGGCGGTGAGGTTGTCAGGCCTTACGCGCCGGCCGCCCTTTACCCCCCAGGAAGATTCCTGGTTCTCATTTCTGTTAGAGGCTGAGTTGACCCCAGGGCAATAAAGCGGCTGGAAGGATTTGGTAAATTAAAAGAAATATCCACCTCATCGGGACTCGAACCCGCGACCTTCCGGTTTGTAACAGTGCCTCAACCAACTACGCTACCGCGTGCCACTTAATTTTTCCAGGAGCCATTTAAAAGTATCTTCCCATCTCCTTCATAATCTTCCATGGAAAAAAAGAAAATCTCCGTGGTCTGTAGTTCACAAGCGAACTATACCGACCGAGCGACCGCCGTTTGTCGGCGAAGTTATTGCCAACTTTAGCGGATAGAGGGCGTCGCGTGGTCAGCCCAACGAATTCCCACGGCCGGTAATCTCGGTTTTCTAGACCGGAGCCTCTATTTATTTGAAGTAGCTCCTCAGTTATCCTGACGAGGCTGAGTAGACCCCGTTCAAGACCCACTAGTTTTCAGAAAATCTGGTAGCGCCGGGAATCGAAACCGGACCTCTGGATCTGTAGCCAGGAACTCTGACCACTAGACCACAGAGGCTGTCTATACTCTTCCATGTGGCCGCTATAATTTTGTAAGTACTTCTTGTATCCTGCTTACGAACTACATGGCCATACTAAATGTTCGGCCACACCGAGCGCTACGTACGCTATGTTCCCAATGTTAGCTGCGTCGCAGAGTGTACACAGCGTACGTAGCGAACATAGCGTAGCGCTCTGTGTGGCCGAACCTTTAAGCCTTTCTTGGTTTCAGTGCGCCAGTGCTGTTATGGTGCATTCAGCGTTAAAGAATAGACTGTGTTGTCTTGTGGACTGCTACGTGCAATGGCATCGCTTTTTCAACTACATTTCCCCGCTCCTCTTTCCTCATACCGAGCTGTAATCTAGCTGGTTATTTTTCTTCTGTAGGATGGCGCTGAAAGCAATTCATACTTTACTCAGTCAAACAGAAGTAGTAAATTTTGTTTTAATAACAGTAGGCTTCCTGTTTGCCGAGCACAGTGACCGTGCGGTCTAAGGCATGAGCATCCTTCGTCCACTCGAACATTGGGGTCGTGGGTTCGAATCCAACTCGAGGCATGGATGTCTGTGTCTGTTTTTATGTGTTTATGTTATTCTGTATAAAAGTAGAGGCCTTGCGACGGATTGATCCCCCGTCCAAGGATTACACCGACTGTGTATAGGATTTAGAAACTGAAAAGCGGCCAAGGTCCGACAAAGGGCTGTAGATGGGTGGGTGGATGGGCTCCCTATTTTGATTATCATTCCTTGATCGTTAGACATAACAGACCCCGTTTGCTGCCTGAACTCGTCCCTCACTCCTGCGTCCCTAAAAACAGTTCCAGGTTTTCTGCTTTCCCTTGATTGTATGTTGCTAGAAGGTGGCGAATGATAGTCTTGTAAAGCTTACAAACTTTACGAGCCAACGAGTTTCTAAAAGCGAGGAATGACAGATCGTTTCTAACATATTTAAAACATATTCAGATAGTTGGATTGTGCGTGAAAGTGAAGATGCTGCTGGCACCGCAAGCCTATATCGAGAGCTTCCGTTTGTATAATTTGGTAATGTATTCACAGTAGATTGTGCAGTTAAATTACGCATTTCCGTTTCCTCACGTATGAGCACATCTGTCTGCCTTGGATTGACGATTAAGTTTAGAGGCTTCTTTCAGAACATATTTTCAGTGTACCTGGACGTAATTACGTTGTTGCGACATTGTTGCCATGTGAGGCACTATGATCTTAACGTCGAACAAGCTAGAAGCAATTGTGTATAAGTACGAGTACTTCTGCCTCCGCACTTATCTCTGTGCAGTTCCTTTAGGTGGGAAGATTCAATTAACCCTTCTTTGGTTTATTGTATATCAATAAGTATTTTATTTTAAATAAATAAAAATAAATAACGAAGTTCCATCTTATGTAATATCCTTTATTTCCCACTAACTTTTAAGCTTATATTAACTAATCGGGTTGGCCGCGCCATAGCTCAAGCGGCTAGTCGCTGGCTTCCCACCGCAGCGGCCCGGGTTCGATCCCGGGTCTGGTGTTTTCTCTGTGGTCCGTGCCGAGGGGTAATAAAGGGACAAAAATGGTCGCTTGAGAGTGAGTTTTC